AAGAGAGGCGAAACCCATCGTGGAGGGTTCTCACAGTCGGGCACAATGCAGTATAAGAAGAGGACAAATATAAATGGGGCTTGTAATATGTGTCTTAAATGCATATAAATGTGTACCCTTGAGCAAAGTCTCGAGGACATCACATCAACTTGCAGTTCGCATCAGTTTTTGTCCTCAGTGGGACGAGAAGCTAAAGCGGTCGATCCCCGCCGCGGCCTACGCGCCGGGTGGAAGCGTTAAGTTATGTGTGTATATTGCGTTGCACAAAGTATCACTCATACTTAACGTTTTACGCTGAATAAAAAACACCGTGGACGACGGTGTAGAACGGACCATCGGCGCGGAACTGCGCAAGCCACAAGACCGCCCCAAGACCAGGTGTCTCTTCTGGCGCTGGAGTCTTTTGCCACTTGATATGGTCGTCAACATTTAGACAATTCCTGAAAACGTTTTATTTATTCATTTTCCTTGGGCTTGGCTTTCCTTCCTTGGGTTTCGAGAATGACGGGCCTGAAGTTCCTGCCGGTGGCGGTCGCCGCCATATTATTCTCACAGGCCAGCTGGGCATATGGAAATGCGCCAACTGATGTAAACGATAGCAATTCTGGTCAAAATACTGGACCTGGCGGAGCTGATGCAGGCGGGGGGGGCAATGAACATCCTGAAGATGATGGTGAAGATGAAGGTACTGTCGGTGAAGTTGACGAAACTGCCACTAACAAGGCCGGTAAGCCAGTCGGAAAACACCTTGGTTTTGTTTCTGCTAAAAACGGGGTGTGAAATTGAACCGTGTTCCTCCTGCTGATTTCCTGCAGAAAGAGCGGAGTGCTGGGAACAAATGAACCTGGCTCGAACTGCCGCTGGTTTCGATAAACTCACGCAACAAAATATGTTCAAACTTTCTGCTAGTGACTGGGCAAATACTAGAGACCAAGCCACCAAACTCACGGAATACCTGGGAAATGTCTGCAATGCAATGAAAACTGTGAGGGTCGACACTGAGATGTTCACTGTCTATATCATATGTACTCTCTTATGGCATCGGATTTTACAGTGAAACCTAAGCCAGCCACGTGCAGACACTTGGAGACACACACGCACACACCACATACAAGGAGCCAAAATAATGCACCCTTTATGTCTCCTTCCTCATGCATTATGAACAGAACACCGCGCCTGAAGGATTGACCCCAGTCGCAGGCACCGTCGCCTACGCAGTTCAAGAAGGCGAACAGGCTGATTGCCAGGCTGCCGTGGACTACTGGAAGGAAGCCCTCACAAACTTCAACGGGGAGGTGCCACCAGCATATGGAGCAAACGCTGCACCTTACGACAACACCCAAAATGTCTCCTTCATTTCCCTCTTCAATCCCCAAGCAAATCCTACGGTTGACTGCGCATACTTCGTCTGCCCTGCATCAACACAGAACGCCAAGGAACAGCAGGGAAACACTAATACCGACAAGAGCATGAATGCGTTGATTTGCGTTACTTCGCCCAGCGCCTTGACAAATAGCCAAGAACCCTTTACGTAAGCACCATTTTGCAATGACTGTCATGCATGTTTCGCTGTTTCGGGCATGCTGTTTGGTTGCCTCACCTTCAGTTGTCATGGAGTTCTGGGGGAGTGGCTGTGTGCTTCAGGAAGGAGCAGTGGAACAAAATTACTGCGGCTCTCAACTCCAGTAGTGCCGCATCAGCAGCACCAGCGGCTCTTGCCCTTGCTGCCGCTGCATTTGCCGCAGTTTTCCTCTGAAAATCCTCTGAACTGGCGGAGAGGAGTTGCAGCGTATGCACAGCCAGCTTGAGTTTCAAGTATCAAGCAAAGACGAGTCCCACGTATCTGAG